CTAGCCTCGGCGTGATCATGGGACAGTGTGGTGTTATTTCTTCGAAGACGGTCTTAGTCTTCCTAAATTTGATTTTTTGGGTAAGTTGCCTACAGTATAAAAGCTGGGATGGATGTAGTGGTTAGCGGCATTATGGCATAGCTCTGCAGGGAGGGATACACGAGCTACAGCGAAAGAGCAGTTGTTTACACGTATAATCGACAAGCTTTTAATAGACAGAAATCTATTATTATCTTGGCTGAATGCATCACTGAATGAATCCAAGCGCAGCATTGCACATTGGTTTTGTCTATTTTGTCCCCATGTGTCACACCTGAGCAATAGCTACTATAGGCTATTTGGTTAAAGTAGCGAATGTCAAATCACATAGGCTACACAAATTATATAGGCCTAATGAAAACGCTGTTTTTAGTTTTGCATATACGTAGCCTACATGTCTATCCATAAAATAAGAATTACAATAGAAAGAAAGAAAAGCAAGACTACACATTTCAATATCGTTGTATAGGGATTTTTTTGTAGAGCAGGGATACTTGTAACACTTTTGGTTTTTGTTCTGAAATTTTGTTCTGCGTTTTCTTTCATTTATTCAGAAAATTGTAAAGCTATTGCCTCCAACAACATTAAGATATTAGCAGTCATCACACATGTTAATTAAATTTATATATATATATGTATATGTATAACAGTGGCTTGTGATGAATAGTAAAATGTTAATGTTTGTCAATACACTGCCTAAAACACTGTTAATATCATAATACATAGCTTTTAATTTTGACAATTGTAACAAAACTCTAAAGAAACACTTGAAAGAATGTAAATGAAATACATTTTAAAATCTAACTTATTCCACATTTTAATTTTATAAGAATGAGAAATAAAACTGCTTAAAATTATGTCTGATTTGCTATATTGAATAAAATTACAATCATAAAAAATACAAAAGGTTGTTTATAAAAGAATCCATGTCGATAGATAATAATAATGATGATGAATAATGTTATCACGGCCAATGGGAGTAAAGCGGTTTTGCAATTTCACAACAACTAACAATATTTTTGTTGCACTCTTCCCAGGCTGCCGCTGGTATACTGTGCTACATTGGGGCCTACGTTTTCATCACGTATGATGATTATGATAATTTTTTTGAGGATATCTACACTTTCATCCCTGCCATGGTGATAACTGCTGTGGGCACGCTTCTTTTTGTCATTGGTTTCATTGGATGCTGTGCCACCATTCGAGAAAGCCGCTGTGGCCTGGTCACGGTAAACTAGAGTCTAGTACCCCCAATTTTCACATACATAGCTTTGATGATTTTTTATTCAGAATGTTTCCTGATTGTTCTTGTCTAATTTTTCTGCAGTTTTCAGCCGTGCTGCTACTGGTGTTTGCCACAGAGGTGGTTGTAGTGGTGCTAGGCTATATTTACAGAGCCAAGGTTGGAAATAATTAAATAACATGTACATGTGCATGTAAGTAGTTTGAAAGTGTCATTGATAAAACATTGAAACGTCTTTTATTTTTCTCTGAAAGGTCGAGGCTGTAGTGAATCACTCTATTCAAAAAGTATATAATGAATATAAAGGCACCAACAGAGACGCTCCTAGCAGGGCCATCGACTATGTCCAGAGACAGGTAAGACCATCAGCTCCTTTGTCTCTTTTTCCACCATTTTTCAATTTCTCTAAACTTCTCTTCTTACAATCTTTCAATTTTAGCTCCACTGTTGTGGCATTCATAACTACTCTGATTGGATGAACACTCGCTGGTTTATTGAGTCCAAAAATAACAGCGTTCCAGTGAGCTGCTGCAAGTCCAGCATCAGTAATTGCACTGGGACTTTAATGCGACCAGGAGACCTCTACCCAGAGGTAACAGCCTCACACACATTCTACAGACCTGCAGCCCAAAACTATTAAATGATAGTCTAACCGAACTTCTTGTTACAGGGCTGTGAAGTTCTTGTAGTAAAGAAACTCAAGGACATTATGCTGTACGTCACACTGGCAGCATTAACGTTTGCTGCCATACAGGTAAAAAGTCATTTGCGGTCATACACTCAAATAAAGTGGTAATTTGTCACTTAAACAGTGGTCTATGGGATTTTAACAGTAAATACGGGAAGTGTAATATAATGTAAACAGCACATAAAACGTTTTACTTAGAAATAGCCTAATCATAGTAATTACTTGGCTACTCAACAAATAAAGAAATACGTAGACATGAAAGATTGATTTGAAATTAAATTATTTTCTAATCTTCTCTGGATATTAAATTTAAGTTTCTGCTAAGATATAACTAGTCCATTACAATACGAAATAATCAGCTTAGCAACATATAGGTAACAGAGACGCTAGATGCCACCACTTGCGGTTTTGTTTGAGACCCGCGGGTTTGCGAGACATGAAAGTAGAAAACATTATAACAGAGAGCTGAAACGTTGGACCCAGCTTTTCATGGTACAAGAAGAGCGGTCTGATATACAGCAGAGCCTATGCTCAGACAACAGTGAATGTTAGGAAATATCACGCTGCGTTCCAGACAAAGTAGGTGTGAATACTCGATTTGAATTTCCCACTTCAGAACATTGTATGTTACATTTCATTAGAAAATGTGCTTGCTGCAGAGCCAATGAGATGAAGAACACAAGATCCAGGGGGTGAGGTTGGATCCAGATCCAACTCCTCCCACCTTACATATCCCCAAACCTACCCGTCTTCACCCCCTGATCCCTAAACTCAGCCAACTCCACCCCTTAGATATGGTTCCAACCTCGCCCCCTGGATCTTGTGTTCTGCAGTAAGGGGCTACTGGAGCCCATGGATGGAGCTTGACATCCAGCTCCCCCTCTCTGGGCCTGTCTGCGCCAAATGGGTGGTGCAGAGGTCCACCCATTTGGCCCATTTGGATCTGTAGTGAGCACCACTCGTCCAATTACAAGTTCGTTCACAGATATGTAACACAAGATGGCGCTATTACTCAATGTATCTCAGTGTGTGGCGCTGTTTTTTATTTATTTATTTATTTTATTTTATTGACAACACAGGAATATAGAGTCATAAAAAACATATACATCTATAAAACAATAAAATCAAAACTTTTAATCTTATATCAAATAAGATTATTTGAACAGCAGAGATGTCTTAGCTTTATGATTGTTCTGTTTAGAGATTAAAGAATCATAAAAGATCATTAAATCAGTAAAAAGTTTACCATTTGGTACAGACAACATGTATTTTGCTTTGTGTATATGATTAGTTAAGAAATTTGATTATACTGTGCATCTCCAATAAACCAGTATCACATTCCATAAACAAGATCCTATTGTAAAACAGATCAAAAATAAACAATATATCCAAAAATAGTCAAAAATAATTTTGCGTAAGTACAACTTAAAAATAAATGTAAGCTTGTTTATGACTCCTCTTTACTCCTTCAAAACAACAAAACACTACTTTAACCTTTCTACAGTCATTACATGGATCATATTGATTTATTATTTTAGAGTTGCTTGACTTACACTTAATTAGAATTACATATGTATTTATATTGGAGCAAAGTTTCTGGAAAAAGAGAAGGATTATCATGATTACATGATATTTCTAATATAAAAGTTTTTTTTTTTTTTATCCCTGATGTAAAGACCACCAGTAGGAACCAGAAGAGAACCAATTATACATGTTTTCATTTTTAATAATGTGAATAAGATTAGGGGAAATACAACAAAAGAGTTTTAAATAATATTTTGAAGATACATTTATCCCAAGAATATTAACAATTGCAGCTGTCTTTGACACTGGTTGTTTCTCCTGTTCTTAGGCCAGACATAAAAGTCAAGAAAACAAAATGTTTGTGTTCTCTTTAAAAAAAAAACAATATGCCTACTATAAAATAAAGTTATAAAGATACTGTGTAATAAAGATACACATAGCATGTAATATTACAATAAATACTGTATTTTAGATATTAATGTCTTCTCAGAAATTGCTTATATTTCTTTAACCAGAGTTCCCACTTCATTTTTACATGTCTCTCCTTCTGAATTCTTGATACCAGATATGTACACTTTAAAAAACTGCAATCAAATGACCCTTCTCACCAATCCAGTTATTATTTTCAAGGAGAAGGTATAGAATATAAAGGGTGAGTCTCAATCAGGCTTTGGCTCGATCACAAAATCCTTCCAGTGCACTGGAATGTTCGCTCCCTAAAAAAAAATCCCACAATGCACTGCGAAAACCAGGGAGAATCTTTGCTCACTATGGTCCTTCATCAGAAAATATATGCAGTATTAATGCACTTTAAACAGCATTAAAAAGCGAGATCCTGCTGTTGTTGATAAATGATATGAACTATATAACTGTCACAGTTATGGGCTGTTTGTTGTGTTTTCTTCCTCTGTGCCCATATTTGGTCATGTTCCTGTATTCTCATTATTAGTTAATCCCCATCACCTGTTTGCCCCTCGTTATCTGCCCTATTTATATTCCTCTTTGTGTTCCGTTGACTGTCGGCTATTGTTTAGTGTCACGTGTGTTTGAATATTTACCTTTCGTGTATCGTGTGGATTCTAATTAAAAGCATTTATGTGGATTACCTTCATCTTCCTTGCCTTTCTTGGATCAACCGTGACAGAATAACCGACCTAAACATGAGAAACAGGGGGTATGAACTGGCCTCTATCAATGTAGCCCTGAGGGGTGAAGTCAATAACCCTTCCGGGGTCACTATCTTCATATTTCAGAACGGCCGAAACCTGGAGGAATATGTGTGGGAGTTTTTGGACAAATGCCATCTCGCCACATGTGATGACCTCACCTTAATGGAGGGATTCTGGTGCTGGCTGGACGACGATATCCGTTTCATCATGCCCCAAGCTGATCCCTGCTGGTTGCTGAGGAATTACATCAACTTTGCGCTGTCGTCGGATCAGCATTCACCGTGGACAAAGTTGAGTCCAGCCCGGGGTCATCACATGTGAGTGCCGCCAGCCCAGAGTCATCGCCGATCATGGCCACTAACACTAAGCCCAGTCAAAGACCCCCCAACGGCACGGAGATGCCCGAGCCCACTGCAGATGGAGAGCCATCGCCTGCCGCGGTCATTGAGCCATCGCCATCAGGAGCGTCAGGGCTGAAGATCGCCCCGGAGCCTGAGCCCCAAGAGTCTGACCAGGTGCAAGAGCCGACAGCACAAGCGACGGTGGATACAGCTGTGGAGATCGTGGAGGCAATGGAAAGCCCTGCCCGTGCCACCACCGCTGGGGGTGAGCGCAAACTGGACCTGGGAGATTTAACAGACTTGCACTCAGAGATACCCGTCCTTCAGTCTTCACTTGAACTTTTAACCTGGGAAAATATACCACCCAACCTCCCTCTCCCGCCTCCTCTCATTGGCCTGTTCCCTTCCTCAACGCCCTCTTCGCTGGATCCCGTCAGACCCTCTGCTCACCCTCAGCTCACCATCTGTGGCGTGGGCTCGCCGCTGGTCTGCCCATCTCCAGCTCCATTGGCGTCGAGTCTGGAGGATCCGTCGACTCCGCCTTCAGCCTCCGAGGCCCACACCTGCAACCCAGCGGCTCCACCATGGCTTCCAGCTCCCTCGTCTCCACTGGAGCCCGTCAGTCCACCAACTCCACCAGGCTCCCTCGTCCCTCCGGCTCCGCCTTGGTCAGTTGTCCCCCTACCTCCACCTCTGGACTGCACTCCTCCGGCTTTGCCTCGTCCCTCCGGCTCCATTGGGCTCCTCCCTCCCTCCAGCTCCACCTCAGTCCTCTGTCTCCGCCTACACCTCGGTCACCGAAGCCTCCGGCTCTGCCTTGGCCCTCCGAATCCTCGGCTTCACCCTGGCTCTTCGGCTCTCTGTCGCTGCCTCGGGCTCCGCCGCCGTCGATCGGTCCCCTGGAGCCGTCAGCCCTTCCTCTCCTGCTCCAGGTCCCGCCTGTCTCCTCCCTCCGTCTGATCCTCCCTGGCATCTCCCTCCATCTGATCCTCCCTGGCTCTTTTCTCCATCTCCACCTTGGACTCTGGTTGTCGTCCTCCTCCCGGTTGCCTGTCCTCCGCTGGAAACTCCTCCAGTATGTGTCTGCCTGCCTTCCTGCCAGCCCTTTTCCATCCCACTTCCACTCCTTTGTCCTCCTCCTAAGTCCCCCTCCGTCCCACCCTTTTTCTCTGCGGCACGAGGTCGCGCCTTCCGTGAGGGGGGCGAAATGTCACAGTTATGGACTGTTTGTTGTGTTTTCTTCCTCTGTGCCCATATTTGGTCATGTTCCTGTTCTCATTTTCTCATTATTAGTTGATCCTCATCACCTGTTTGCCCCTCGTTATCTGCCCTATTTATAGTCCTCTTTCTGTTCAGTTGACTGTCGGTTATTGTTTAGTGTCACATGTGTTTGTTCAACCTGGAGTATTTACCTTTTGTGTATCGTGTGGATTCTAATTAAAAGCATTTATGTGGATTACCTTCATCTTCCTTGTCTTCCTTGGATCAACCGTGATAATAACCTTACTGATTCTAACAGATAATGCAGAATATTTGAAATATGTTTTCATAATATTTCCTGTCATCATCCTCAGTGTAATTGTATGTTTTGACCATTGTTTCCTTTTCTGTGCACAGATGCTTGGGCTGCTGTGTGCGTGTGTGGTCCTTTGCCGCAGAGGTCATGACCCTGCCTATGAACTGCTTATCAGCACGGGTATAGATGCCTGAGAGGTACCGCATGGCATCATGGGTACGGCTGGTCCTCCCAGCCAGTGTACTGTACATATTTAAACTGAATCAGGCTACCACTTTTCTACACTAGTATTAAAACCAGTTTCAGTACCTTTGTTTGACATAAAATCAAAGCTTTGACAGCTTGAATAGCCACACACTGCTTTAGTTTTGAAGAAAATGTTCCTAAAAATGTTCCTAGAAGAAGTATTGAATCGTTTCTTTATTTACAGCACTACGGATATTTGCTAGAGTCTGATGAGCAGAAAATAATCATTCAGTTGTTTATTATATTGTAAATATTTTACACTAATTGATTTCATGCGTCATGGTAATGTGATATCATGTGTTATTAAGTAGTTGTTAGGCCAAAGACTGAAGTCACTGGTTGACATAGTTCAGATATTTCCCTTATTTACAGTATGTGTTGTAGAAGTAATCCTTCTGAGTCATAATGAAGAAGAAAGATTGTTTTAAATTTAAATTATTTTCTGACAACTTTCCTTGCTTCTTATTTCGAGCTTATATTTAAAGAAATATTGATACAAAGGGTTTCAACTAAATCATTACTTTTAACTCTTGCAGCAGCATTAAACTGGCAATTAACAACAAGGTTACATAACATAAAGCATGAATTACACTATCAGTCAAGTATTTGGCAGCAAAACAATCAAAAGTGCAAGTCTAACAAAATAGTTTAGTGTGTTTCAAATATAGAACTGAGCATTTGAAAATTCTCTAAAATCAGTTTATTATAAAAAGGCATTTTTTCCCCTGTTATATAGTAAAATGGTTGTGCAATGCCTGGGACCAGGAAAAAAATATTTACTTGAAAAAACTTTATTCTATGAGTGACACTGCTGTATGTCACTCTAACGGAAGTGTTACTCTTAAAAGGTCACTGACATGAATGCTCATATAATACTCACAATGTTCACTGTAGCATGAAAACACTCATGTTTTCACATTATTTGATAAATTCATGCTTTTCATTTCTCCCTGCAGAAGTATAACAATGACTAATGCAAAGTACCTATTGTAATGTATGTTGATCTGGCACAGTTAATTTCAAATAAATCACTGAAACGAAAATTATCCATTAAGTGATTGCTTTTTTTATATATTATATTGCACATTAAGACTGTATTATTTATTCAAGCTCAAACATTTTTACTCAAAAAATCAAAAAATAATTAAATATAAATGTAAATAAAATATACATTGAATTTTCACTTAATGCACATACTGTAGTTCCTCTAAAACTTCTAAAATTGACAAAACAAACACAAGCTGTCTGAATCAGTCTTACATCTTGTAAAGTGGGGTTTGGGTTTCATGTTCTTCTTCTTCTTCTTCTTCTTCTTCTATTGAGATTAATTGGCGGTTGGCAAACAACGTTTTGGTGCATTACCACCACCATCTGGGGGTTTCATGTTCATTGTTTTCATGTCTTTTATTTTGTAGTTTGGCCACAGTCATGTTCTGTCATGTGACCCTTGTTGTTTGATATAAATAGCCCTCATGTTGCCCATGTCCTTTGTCGAGTATTGATGTTGTAACCTGCTGTCGGTGAGTCAAGTCTGTTAATGCTAAGTCAAGTCTATTTAAGTCAAGTCTGTTCATGCCAAGTCAAGTCAAGTCTTTCTTTTTCATTTCATTTAATTTCTTTCATTTGTTTGGATGTTTGGATTACTTTGAATAAAAGCTGCACTTGGGTTCATCACAACTCGCCTTCAGTGGACCATTTGTTACACATCTTAAGAAAAGAGTTTTTTTTTTAACATTTCGTTAAAATGACTTTGATCAGTGTATTTATATAAACTCTGCAAGCAGTGATCAAAATGTCATGGTGTCTGGGAGAGTTTGGCTGTCAATAAATTTGACTTTAGTTTCTTGTGTATAAGGTGTATGCAAGGTGTTAAAGAGGAAAACAAGAACTATTTTATTTTAACAATTTAAATTAAACTCTTTAATTGCAATTTATTTTTCAGTGTTTCCATTTATTGTTGAGTATATTTTCCAAAACAGTTTAATGATCTTCAAATGATCTCTCAAATGTCGAACTCACAGATAACATAAAAATGCTGAAAAGCATATCAACATAGCTTCTAAAAGTACTGTAAATCTATGACATCAATATACTCTCACTAAAAGTGTAGCTTGTGTTTCAAAGTGCAAAGTGATGCATCATCAGGCGTTTTTCAAGCAGCATGTTTACATCTACGACCCTTTTTGATAATTTAAATAACATAAACATAGCATATTGAGATATACAATGCATAAACGGGAACCCAAGCACTACAGCACTACTTTTACATGAACTACAGACATGCAGATTCACTGTTTTAAAGTCAAATAAAGGTCTACTTTGACATTTTGAATTTTTCATTCGTTTATATCTTGCACTCTTCTCAACTCCTCTGGGGAAAACAAAACAAAACAAAATACTACATTATTATGACAGCTTCAGTATTCTACTGGATTATATGAATGTTAACTTTATTTATAGTAATATATGTGTATCTGTGGAATATATATATTTATTGTATTATAATATACACATTTATTGTATTAACAACATAACATTTGTTTTATATTAAACAAACAGACACAACTGACATATATATGATTTGGTTCTTACCCTGTTCTTTAATAACATACAAAGTTTAGTTTCTCTGCACAGTCTCTGCTCTCCCAATGATTAGCTGCCAGGTTTCGAGATCCACAGTAAAGGGGACTGGCGGGGCATACCGGCAGCTGGACCAAATTTCCCAGAGACTCCCCATTGACCCAGAACCAGGAGCCTGCCAGGAAGCGCAGACCTGTCCACATGCCGTCGGTTTGCATGTCTGCAGTCTTGTTATTGGCTTGGAAGAGATGTAAACTGGTTGGCAGACAGGCCAAGCCAGAGTGTTGAGACCTGCAGTGTTCTAACGCCTCCTCCCAGCTCTTCTTCTCCGTTACCAGGATCAGTTCAGGCACCCACTCGTAGCAGAAAAAAGGGTACTGCATATCACAAACGTAGTCATACAATTCCCCACCTGAACTCTTACAGCAAAAGGCACTATATGGGGTGTCTGGTTGACCATCCTTCCATGGCATAGAAATTTCTTTGCTTCCATCACTCCACATCCATTGGCTGTGAACAGAGAGTTTGCTCAGTCCAACCCAGCTCTCTGTGCTACCAGCTTTCTGATTGTTTGAATCGCTTTTGAACCGTGTAAGTTCCTCATGGCTGTCTATGGTGGACAGGTCAGCATAATTCTCTCTGCAAAACTTTTGAGCATCGCTCCAAGTCTTAGCGTTATTGATAAAAATGTGTTTCCTGATCAAAGTTAAAGTCAGCTCACAATGAGCTGACAGGAAAAGAGCAACCCAGGCAATCTTCATCTCTTCTGTGGGAAGCAAGTCAGTAAATACAGACGTAAGGCAGACTCCATAAATATATATATACATGCAAATTTGCAATTTGTTAGTCAACATTGTATGCAAATATTCACTTTGAGGTCAGATGTCACCAACGCAGAACAAAGACTGTAATGACTAGTCTCACACCGAGATCTTTATCTTGACAGTCAGTTTTAAGATGCCTTAATACAGCAATTTAATTAATAGCTCACAGAAATTTAAAAAAGAAAGAAAGAAACAAAGTTGCACTGCAAACATTTTCCAATTAGACTGATGGTTTTCTCCTTCTTTTTCCAAAATTCACTGTGTATCAAGTGTTTTATTAAATGTGCAACAATATCGCAAACTCAAGTACTAAAAATGACATTTCCAATTCATCCATCCACCATTCCCCAAACCACTTATTCTAGGATCGCGGGGATGCTGCCTATCCCACACAAAATAATGTTGGATGGATGCACAAATTCATCACAGGGCATTTATTTATTTATTTTTACAAATGTAATTATTTTTACATTTATTTTTACAAGTAAAAAATTTACTTGTTTATTTTTGTATTAATTTATTACATTTATGGAGTCTACATTATATTAATTTACTTTTTATTGACTTTTTTATGTATTATTTATTCATTTATTTCTTTCTCCATTTCTTTCTTCTTGTGATAATGGGTCATGACTTTCATATTCCGATATACAACATTGGGATAATGACCTGATAAGACTTGCAGATATCATTTTACATTTTAATAACTTGAATTTATAAAATAAAATAAATACAATACAATAAAATAAAGACCTAACGTTATATTTAAGCTTTGTATCTCTGTATTAATAGTTGAATAAGATGTTGGTGAGAAAGAAATAAAGAAAGAGTTATGTTCTGTTTTCATGGACTTTTAGTTTGTATCACATTGTTTTCCTGTTCTCTCCCTTTAGTGTTCTATGTAACCACTCATAATTTTCATACTTACTGATTTGGTTTCCCTTGTTGTGGATTCTTTTCACCTGTGTCCCATCTAGTTTCCTTTGTTAGCTCTGTGTGTTTAAGTCCTCAGGTTTCTTTCCTTGTCCTGTATTGACTTTGTAATCAAAGCTGTTATGTTTGCTTCAGTGGTTGCTCCAGTTTGGATTAGCGTAATTTTTTTGTTTAAACAAAATCTTCTGCCTTAATCTCCCCTTCATGCCAGAATGTGATGGGTGGATGGAATTTCCCCCCAGCAGTTAGGTAACAAAAACTACCAACAAAGTGACTTAACACTCTCACAAAAAAGGTACCAAACTGTCACTGGTTTGGTACTCTTTTATAAGGTACTAATATGTACAATTTAGGGGTAATAAGGTACAAAGGTGTGCCTTTTAGCTTTTCTACCTTTAGGCATTGCCCCCAGTTTTGTACCTTTTTTCTGAGAACAGACGTTTGCATATCTCTGTGCATTTATTTGGTGTGTGTTTGAAATAGCCTGCAGGCAGAGAATCACTTTGCATACCCAGATCATATCGGGCTTTTTTTATTATTATTTATTTAACTAATTTAATTGTTTAATTTTTGTATTAATTACATCAACTTGTGTTTATATATATTATGATTTACATTTATTATATACATTTATGTCAGGCTAGAAGGAAGGATGCCTTTTAGCTTCTGTACCTTAGGGTTCCGCCCCAGTGACAGCTTTGTACCCAGATGGACAGCAGATTGCAATGATCCCATAACACACAGCGCAAGATATTAATGCGCTCAGACTCCTGCTGCTGGAACACCTACAAGGCAACACACAAATACAAAACATTAACTATTTTTAATGTCACTTCCTTTTAAAATGTGGCCAGTAAATTAAGAATTATTTCCCCTTTTACTATTTTTGGTAATGGCATTTTCTCAACCTGTATACCACATCAATAAATATTCTCCAGCTGTATGACAGAATGTTATGACTGTTTATCACATGCCTGTGAGATTGTGTCTTCTCTCATTTAGTCATCATTACCCAAAAGAAAACATGAAGCTCTGCTTATTTCTGTAGACACTCCTTCCTCTGTTAACACTACTTTTTAGTGGTCTATGTATGTTTTTGTACACATTCTTTACCTCACATGCACTCCTGTATGTGCTCTCCCAGTCCTGGCACATTTCTTTTAGTTGATCAACATTCCATTTGTATTGCTTTTCTGAACCAGCAAGAAAATAAAACAGAAAGTCAACTCTCAATTAATGTTAACATGTAAGACAATAGCTTGGAAAAAAAAAAAAAAAATACAAAACATTAACTATTTTTAATGTCACTTCCTTTTAAAATGTGGCCAGTAAATTAAGAATTATTTCCCCTTTTACTATTTTTGGTAATGGCATTTTCTCAACCTGTATATAACATCAATAAATATTCTCCAGCTGTATGACAGAATGTTATGACTGTTTATCACATGCCTGTGAGATTGTGTCTTCTCTCATTTAGTCATCATTACCCAAAAGAAAACATGAAGCTCTGCTTATTTCTGTAGACACTCCTTCCTCTGTTAACACTACTTTTTAGTGGTCTATGTATGTTTTTGTACACATTCTTTACCTCACATGCACTCCTGTATGTGCTCTCCCAGTCCTGGCACATTTCTTTTAGTTGATCAACATTCCATTTGTATTGCTTTTCTGAACCAGCAAGAAAATAAAACAGAAAGTCAACTCTCAATTAATGTTAACATGTAAGACAATAGCTTGGAAAAAAAAAAAAAGCTTGGAAATTTTTACACATATTTCAAGCTCTCATATCTACACCACCAGGGTTGGGCAAAGATACATCAACATGTATTTTAAAATAAAATACCAAATACCTTAATTTTGTAAGAATCCACCCGCCAGCCCAAAAAGCAGAATCCAGCGGCCTGGTCGAAGGTTTAATGCGTATTCGGTCTTTTACTTGCGCTTCTGAATTTATCAGGATTTAGTTTAAATTTTAGTTTAGCTCCGTGTTCAATCTGACTCCAGTTTCACGTGATCAGTTTTTAATTAGAAATATTGCCTAAATTTAATGATCACAAATATTAATTTAGATATTTGACTGATTGGCTAATGCTATTTTTCCCCTTGTCAGTGCTCTTTTATTCTTGTTAACTGACGGCAAATCTGAATGATGCACTATTTTAACTTTAATCAACATGTACAATTGACCATGACATCCTCACCTTATCTTATTCCAGAAAAGTCACTCACCCAATGCTGAATGGAGTTGTACAGCTGCAGTTCACGTGATGAATGTTGGGGTTGGGGGAGGGGGTGTGTCTGAACTAAATCAGCACCCTGATAAAGAGGTTGACTGGCACAAAGTATTTTATGTATTTTGAAAATACAAAAATACTAATCTTAAATATATTTAAATACAAGTTACATTTGATTTTTGCCGAAGGCTTTCAAATACAAAATACAAAATAGTATTTTGTATTTCAAATACGTATTTTAAATACATGTATCTGAAATACTGCCCATCCCTGTACACCACCATTCAAAAGTTTGGAGTTAGTAAGATTAATACAACGACACATTAAAATGTAATATATCCTGTTTTTAAGCTTTATGTTTATCAAAAAATTCTGAAAGATGTATCATGTTTTCCACAAATATATTAATCAGCCCCATGTTTTTTTAACTGATAATAATAAGAAATGTTTCTTGAGCAGCAAATCAGCATATTAGAATGATTTCTGAAAGATCATGTAACACTGAAGAATAGAATAGCTGCTGAAACGTCAGTTTCGTAATCACAAAAATAAATTACATTTTGAAATATTTTAGAATAGAAAATAGATATTTAATGTGTAATAATATTTCACAATATTTTAGTTATTCACAATAGATTTTTTACTTTTTGATTAAATAAATGCAGCCTTGTTGAGCATAAGCAAAAACATTTCATCTTACTGACTCCTGAATACATACATACATATATTCATACAATGCCTACACTTTAGGCATTGCCCCCAGCTTTGTACCTTTTTTTCTGAGAACAGACGTTTGCATATCTCTGTGCATTTATTTGGTGTGTGTTTGAAATAGCCTGCAGGCAGAGAATCACTTTGCATCCCCAGATCAACTTGTGTTTATATATATCATGATTTACATTTATTATATACATTTATGTCAGGCTAGAAGGAAGGATGCCTTTTAGCTTCTGTACGTTAGAGTTCCGCCCCAGTGACAGCTTTGTACCTTTTTTTTCCTGAGAGAGAACAGATGGTTGCATATTTCTGTGCATTTATTGGTGTGCATTTCAATTTAATCATGAATTTAATGCATTTACATTTCTGAATGCATTGCTGAGGCATATGGGATATGAGTCTTTTTTTTCGAGTCCTTTTTTGATTGAACTGAGTGAACATGCAGATTACAATATTTAGTAGACAAATAAGCTATGATAAATTATAGCAATATATTACAAAATTGATAATACTAAATGTATACATTACAGTGTTATATTTATATATATTACAGTACAGACATTAAAAGTAGATGTAAAAAATATAACTTTAGAATTCATAATTCTAATACAAATCATATAACATTTTGTTGTATAATTTTTAACTATACACCATGGAAAAACTGGATTAAACTGTATCGTGATCAGTACCATTACATGAACAACTTTAGAATAACTTATATTCACTTAAAGATCATTAAAAATCCTAAAGATGCCTGTCAAGAAAGCTAATGTCTTCATAGTATGATGTACTGATAGTTTGCTACACTGATGTAATCATTCTACATCAGTCTGCATGCTGAACTAATCCACAGATTTAGTGTAATGACTACTAAACTCTATTTGATGGGATTATGATCAGGATGAGCAGCAGCAAGACGTGTACTGTGACTCTGCGCTGAGATTTTGGTAAGGTACGTTCCAGGGACTAGCCCGGATATTCCATCCCTCCACGCTCTCCACCACCCATCCTCGCCTTTCTCAGTGATTGTGACAACTTGTCCTTTACTGATAGACAGCTCATCATCTTCCTAGAAATGAGGGAGACAGGGAGTTGAGTACACAAATCATACAATCAGTCTCTAAAGACTATAACGTTTTTTTTTTGTTAAATAAACATATATAGACATTTTAAACTTTTTAACAAGGCTGTCAGGCAAACATTTTTATGATAAAAATTACACTTATTAGGTTTATATGAATTTCTTTGAATTACTTTAAATTCTAGTTCCCGATTGCTACCTTAATTCATAAAAAAAAAAAAACTTGGAAATTTTTAGACATATTTCAAGCTCTCATATCTACACCACCATTCAAAAGTTTGGAGTTAGTAAGATTAATACAATACAACACATTAAAATGTAATATACCCTGTTTTTAAGCTTTATGTTTATCAAAAAATTCTGAAAGATGTATCATGTTTTCCACAAATATATTAATCAGCCCAATGGTTATAACTGATAATAATAAGAAATGTTTATTGAGCAGCAAATCAGCATATTATTTTTGTTATTCACAATAGATTTTTTACTTTTTGATTAAATAAATGTAGCCTTGTTGAGCATAAGCAAAAACATTTAATCTTACTGACTCCTGCATAAATACATACATATACACACACACACACACACACACACTCATACATACATACATACATACATACATACATATATATATATATATATATATATATATAGTATACACAATGCATGCACAATGCTTGATTGAATGTTTGATTATTTTGACTTCATCCAAGAGACATTACATTGCATCTATCCTCTTACTGCCAACCAGGATCCTAACAACAGGTAAGTCTTTTAGCACAAACCTGCCAGGTTGGCTGCCTGCCTGCATAACCGCGCCCTGTTCATCACCTACAACACAATACAACATAGACTGATAAATAGCCATACTCAGTGTTTGAACCTGACTTCTTTGAAGAGCAGTGTAACATATATTGTACAAATAATCTTGAATGTAACATACATGACAAAATTGTCACAAAGTCTCTATTCTAAAGACATGAAAGTTACACTGACTGATGGTAGTACAGTTTCCTATAACACTGGGGTGGAATGATGCCCATTCAGACTGAAACAAGTTTGCATTGCTTTAATCCTCATTTTGGCCATACTGTGACCACAAACCTGCCATAGGTAATTTTCACAACTGTCTAAAACTCCAGAATTAAAATGAACACTTCTCTTTAGGAAAATATAGAAACATTTATCTTACTAAGGTATTTAGTGTATAAAACATTATAGTACATATTAAATGTTTTTTTCAATTCAGGCCCTCACACCTTTTCTGATTGCCGGTGGGTGGAGGTGGCCACATTTGTCTTCTTCCCCACTGCTTGCTCAGCCTCTTCTGCCTCTTTACACCTCTGCTCATATAACCTCTTAGACTGTAGGACATTCAGTAAATAAAATAGTTTCAAAGTGAGTAAAAGTGCAAGATAAAAATTAAGAGCTTGTTATACAAATGTGGCTAAAAACGTATTGCACGATCTGTGGTGTTTCTGTGGTTGTTAAATTTTTTTTTCAATTCAGGCCCTCACACCTTTTCTGATTGCCGGTGGGTGGAGGTGGCCACATTTGTCTTCTTCCCCACTGCTTGTTCAGCCTCTTCTGCCTCTTTACACCTCTGCTCATATAACCTCTTAGACTGTAGGACATTCAGTAAATAAAATAGTTTCAAAGTGAGTAAAAGTGCAAGATAAAAATTAAGAGCTTGTTATACAAATGTGGCTAAAAACGTATTGCACGATCTGTGGTGTTTCTGTGGTTGTACAACACAGGAAGTTAAAGTCTTATTATATCCAGAGACAGCATGCATACAAACCAACCAACCAGCCTAATCTTATTTTCTCTCATTCACTGTCACCATCTGTTTCTATTCCTTTTTACGTTCCAATCTCTCTCTACACATTTCTTGGTGGTAAAAATAAATGTTTGAGTCTTCAAACCCAAAGCTAATGAACAAAAATCTGCATTTATCTTATGTGTGCTGTCTAATCATGCCCTAACTCATTCTACAAATACAATCACTACAAGCCTAGTGGCTTCTGTTACTTCTTTCAGTTTCTACTTCTCTCTTCCTCATTTGGGTGGGCCCTGAGAATGATGTGTTATTTACACCATGAACAACTAATGAAAGGGGAAACATGAGGACTTAGCACTGGTAAATAGATACTTGTTTTAATCCGATTTACTCTACTTACCTCCATGGTCTTCTTGTGCAACAGCATTTTAGGCTTCTGAAGTTTTTCAATAATCTCTTCAAGCTAATTAGGAAAATAGATATTAGCTTCCATCTTTTAACACTTGCATTAATAAATAAACGAATGATTATTCACTGGCATTCAGTCTTTACAAAATACAACAAATGATGTCTGTATTAATGCTTGTGTGCTTGCAAACCAAAATGCCAGGTTTCTTCCTCTTGCACACTGACCATATGAATAACCACAACTGTGACCATGGAAACATTACCAAAGTGCTGGGCTGTGTGCATAATGGATCATTCGATTTATTTTCTACCTTTTTCCTCTGTTCCTTCTGGTGCTCTCGAAATGCCTCTATTTTCTGAACTCCCTCCTTTATACTTTCAGATAGTTGGATGTGCAGGTTTCCTGTCTTCTCAATTTCTAGAAAACAATGCAAATTAAGTTGAGAACATAGCATTCAAAGCCTTTTCTAGGAAGGAGGCAAAAGGGAATTGCATCACCTCACATACCTGCTTTGAATTTGTCAAACGAGGCCTTTAATGTTCTGAGTATGGAAAACAAATGATGTAATGAATACATAAACACTTATTTTACACACACTTTTGGACACATTTACTGTATATTGTAGCTAAGAAAGTTTTACATAAACATGAGGCATTTACTTAGGAGTTGTTGTGTGTGATTTGAGTTATTAAGTAGCAAAGGTGTGTGTGTTTCAAATGGAATTTGTTTGCAACTTACCCAATCTCGGTTTGACCTTCTGCCTTCCGGGCAATTGCCACCAGATCTCGGCCGTACTTCTCCTCCGCTAGTGCTCTGTGAAGGAGAGCAGAAGTCACACACTGACATTCACAGAGATACACCGCTATAAATAACTACTCCATACCTCATTTTCAACAGTTCGTCTATGTCTTTGCACATGTGTCTGCCATCCTGTAACCTCTGCAATATCGCTTCATAACCTGACTGGTCAGAAAAGTCAGTACCCTGAAAAGATAACAAACACGCAACACACATGACATACATGAAACACACATAGTAGTCATTCCGATATGTAGCCTATATTTTATGAGCACTAAGGACACTGTTCTTTGGGGAACCATTAAAAATGAGTAATTAAATATGAAAATAAGATTTTGAAGATTGTAGTTTTAAATTTAACTGAAGTGTAATATTATTAAAAGGAAATCCACCCTTTAAAAACAAGCTACACTTACACATTCCACTAACTATATGCAACTTTGCAAATGCATGTCTACTAACTAAATCTCATTAGACTACTAGTAGACAGTTATGTTAGAGTTAGGGGTAGTAGATAAGTAGAAGTTGACATGTACTTGCAAAATTAATCAGTAGAATGTGTTGGGGGACCATCAAAATAAAGTAGCATGACAGTTCAAGTTTTATTATAGAGCAGAGACTTAAGTTTTCCTAATTAACTTAAGAAAACACAAAATACAACTCTTCATTCTAAAAATAGAAGTAAAGGAAATTGCATTTTCCGTAGACTTTTACTTAAGAGAGGCTTACAAACAAGAACTTACCCAAAAGGCATCGCAGAACAGTAAAGCCATCTTCTTTACTACGTAAAGTTATTGCTCAGAAGTGTCTCTTTAAAACCCACAACCACAGCTAAGACAGACTACATTAAAGTTGCTGTCACGGTTAAAGAAAGACAAGCTACACGGAGAGGCAGCAGTCAAATGAAGAGTTTGAAATAAGGAAGAAACTGCGTGGTGGTCAACTTTGATCTCTTGACGTCTTCATTTGCTCTTTGAAAGAGGAAGAATAATGTTGATGTCACTGTCAGCACGCATTTTCTACAGAGATGACATGGAAATTTGCCAGACAAACGAACTGATAAGATTAAGTTAGGACAAATAATAGATGTTTAGAATTTTATTTTAACACTGCACCATTATGGAAAAGGGATTTCTGTGGATATTTCACTTATATTTTAGGGTGACATGGAACAAAAATATAAACAATTGGCTTAATATTGTGTGTGAAGTGTGAAGCGGCACCTATTATTAAACGATTCACCACTGTATGACAATGTATACAAAACCTCTATTTTCCGTTATCACTGTTCTTCTTTTCTGGCTAATGATTGCTTTAACACACTTCAGCCAAAAGAGGGAGACATAACCCTCCTAATCTAAAAGAGTGCATTAGTGTGGGATATGTAGGCCTATTTCAGGTTTCCGCTGACTCAGATAGAGCGGGTTTATCACACTTGACCTGGCTCAACAAAGAGAAACCAATCAAGTGTCTGCTTGAGCAAGTATCTCACTTTGGGATCAATATACCGTGTGAAAAGCTAAACAGCCTCTTTGCAAAGAGGAGGTCCTAAAAGCATGTTTGCGTGCACGTGCAACAGGATGTGTGTGAAATGTAATGATGTTAATAATGCAGGTTATGCTTACAGGTTTATTCAAATATATTCTGTGAATAAATCAACAAATCTAATAACAGAGATTTAATAGTAAACAAATACTTTTTAAATATACTAAATCAAATCTTAAAGAAAATTCTAAAATGTAAAAAGTGTTTAGGGCAATGTGGTTGTCAGGTTTAGGGGATGGAAAATATTACCTTAGCATTGTGAATCTGTGAATAATACATGAACAAATCTATAATAGAGATGCAATAATATAGCAAGCAACTAAATAATGTCTTAAAGAAAATTCTAAAGTGCTAAAATGTTGATGTGATGGAAAATGAGGAAATAGAAAATATCATTAAAAAAATTGAAGTCCATGGAAAGTCCCCACCATGACAGAAAAACAAACAGCTTGGTTGGAGTGTGGACCAGTTTTTGGTAGATACATTAATGCAACCTGTTCACTGGCTGACAGATTTGTAGTTTTATTCTCTGCAGCACTTCTAATGACTTACACCAGCTGGATGATTTTAGATTTTGGGATGGGGGGAGGGTGGACTTTAGTACAAAGATTCATTAAAAAAAAAGGTTTTGTCAGTTTACCAAGTATAAATTCTTCATGTGATAACATAGAAATTCATCTTTATTACTCATTTTATTATTCATTATTATTTTTTTTTATTACAAAAGACTTTTTAAAATATTATTTAGAGTTAGATCAGTTAAAATATATATATGTAAGACATGTAAGACTCTCAGCCAGCTTACTGGTAGCTTGTTATAGGCATGCGCTTGGCAATATCCTTTGTGTTTGTCCTTGTGTGTTGAAGAGATTGTGTGTGCAGGCAGTATGCACTTGTGAATATTTATATAGATATGTATTTATTTATTTATAGACATTTAAGAAGTATGCATAACTGCTGTTGAGCTATGTGGTGGTGTACATAATTATTGATTGATGTGATGAACAGTGTGGTGGTGGTTTGTGTGTGTGCATGTATTGATTGTTCTGTTATGCAGTATGATGCTGAGTGTGGCATTGTTGACTGCTTGCGGTCGCCACAGCAGGCAAGAGGATTGTGGTTAGGCTGCAGACAGACTGACGTAGTGTGTGTGTGTGTGTGTGTGTGTGTTGAATGTCCCCTCTCTAGGTATGTGCTCCTTGGATGAGGCGAAGACTAAAAGTACTTTTGTTACCATGGATTGTGTCTAGTTTCACATGCATGCATTTATGTTGAAAAGGTGAGAATGTGATAATAAAAATGGTAAATTATGTAAATTATGTATGTCTCTAAAACTTTTTTTATCCTTTTATGTTGGTGTAACCTAATATAGTCAGGTTGATTTGTTTATATTTATTAGAATGAATATGTTATTTACATTAAAAAAAACAAGTTAGTTTAGGAGTTATGTATGACATGCATTAGTGCTGGGCAATATACCGATTCAAATGGTAAACCGATTTGAATCACGCAAACGTTATGAATTTTTTAAAAACCGGCATATCAGTACAAGTGGCTAAGCATGCAGACAGTGTCGTGAATTTTCCAAGTATTAATACAACTAATTTAACCGGGCAAGTAAACCAACTGTAAATGGCCATTAATAGAAGCCAGAGACGCAGCCAAACGCAAAGAGGAGAAAATACTGTAGCAACAAGATCACTCTTCACAATGTGCGAAATACTGGGGGAAAGAAATCCTAAATAGGGCTACTAAATTGGGGATGGTTTTTTTATATGAATCTCTGAGGGGAACTGACTGTCTTCAGAAAAGTTTAGATGCTATTTTCTTTTAATCTTACCTCCATATAGATGCTTATTAATGTAGTATTTAGAAGCGCAGGACTACTGTTCCATAAGCGCCACCTGCTGTCAGAGAGTGAATTTGGGTTCTCATGCAGCCTGTCTGCTGCTTTTACTCTTTTACTTCATGCAGATATGTTTTATGTGGCATAATAATAGGAAAGCTAAGGTTAGAGTCAAACCATTCTGTTTTGCTTTAAAATTATACAATCTAATTTACATCAACATTTATTTGGATAAAATGCTGTGGTTCTGCAGCTGTTTCATGCATTCCGATTAATTTAAAGGCACAGTCAGGGAAAAAATGTGATAAACTGTGAAACTGTCACAATTCGCTGGAGCACGGGCACAAGGAAATGAGGAGATTTCACAGAACGAGAGTCTTTTAATGATCCAAATGGGAGACACAGAGCACATGCTAACATGTTAACTAAATGAGGAGAGGAACATGACCAAATAAGGGAACACAGGAACAGAAACGGGGCAAAACATAACAAAACAGGTCCATCATCCTGACATATCGCCCCCCTCCCAGAACAACAGAGGGGGGACACGGGTGGGAACTTGGGAGGCGGCTCAGGAGGAGGACGGACACCCGGGAGGGGGCCGGCAGACAGAGACCAGGGAGGTGACGATGGAGGGAGGAGCTAGGGAGGAAACAGGAAGAACTTGGAGCAGGAGGAGCCAAGCAGGACCCAGGCCACAGCCATGATGGCGACCCATGGTGGAGCCGCTGGAGGGAGGAGCCATGGAGGAGAATGACCGCCGATTCCAGGGGGCCGACAAACGGCGGCGGAGCAGGTGGCGGAGGAGCCCGAGTCAGAGACGGAGAGCCAACAAGGCAGGGGGATGCCGAGGATCCGGGGGCCAGGGTGGAGCCGAGGGCTCTGGCGACCGAGGTGGAGGCGAAGATCCGGAGATCTGTGACAGAGCCGGAGCGACTGAGGACCAAGGTGGAGCTGGCGGGAGGAATGAGCCCAATGGAGCCGGTGGGACGGAGCGACGAGGTGCAGCCGGAGGAGCGGAGTCCTGAGGCGATGGCGGGTCGACGCCAGACCAAGGCGGAGCCGGAGGGACGAGGGAGCCCAGTGGAGCTGGTGGATCGACGGGTGACGGTGGAGGCGAGGGAGCTAGGAGCCGAGGTGGAGCCGCTGGGTCTACGGGCCGAGGTGGAGTCCGGGCCTCGGAGGCTGGAGGCGGAGGTGAGGGATGCTCCAGCCACATCGACAATGGAGGATGGCAGACCCGTGGCGCTCGCACCGTATTGATGGGGGGCTGAGGGCGAGCAGAGGGGCTGCCAGATGACAGCGGTGGAGGAGGCAGGAGCGGGCGGGCGTGTGGGTTGGTTTATTCGTGAGCCTCCGGGCTCTCAGGGCTGCCCTCGGAGATCAGAGCCCACTCCTGGCTGGACTGGGAAACGGGAGCCCCCTCAGGGCTGGACGGGACCAGCGGGGACAAAGAAGAGAGGAGAGGTGGCAAGTCGACCTCCAGATCTGTTTCCCAGTCTACTAGGTCCCCTTCTAAGTCCAGCAGTCCCAGATGTATAATTAGCTCACACGGATGGAGATCCGTTTCTCGCCAGAGTCCACTCCACGAAGGCGGCGAAATCCTCTCGAGGACCATCTTCGGATGACAGCGCGTCATCCGGGTAGCTGGTGTTGCTAGCTAACAGCCGGAATAGTCTCGTATCGTCCTCGAGAGATCTGTCCCCCTGCTCCAGCAGGAGGAGGAGGAATTCCGGGCAGGTGAAGGGATCCATAAGGGGAAACACAACAAAAACAAAAACACTGAGAGAAAAAACGGAAACAAAAACGGAGGGTAGACACACAAAGGTAACTGTATTTGGTCGGGTCTTCTGTCACAATTCGCTGGAGCATGGGCATGTGGAAACGTGGAGATTTCACAGAACGAGATTCTTTTAATGATCCAAATGGGAGACACAGCGCACAAGGAGGACGTTCACAACAAGTAGACCCGACAGAGGAGAAATGCACAGACAAGAACTTATAAACACAGGACAATTACCAAACACAGGTGCACAGAATGACTAATTAACTAAACGAGGACAGGAACACGACCAAATAAGGGAACACAGGAACAGAAACAGGGGCAAAACATAACAAAACAGGTCCATGATCCTGACAGAAACCACCAGAATCCTTAAAAAAATACAGTGTTTTGATCAAACCGCCCAGCACTTTTAGGTAGCTTTTACAGACTTTTTACAGAGTAATAGTAAGATGCACAGTACAAATAGCAAATATAATAATCAGAAATATTAGTTTAACAAATCAGTAAATATTACACAAAACATACAAATACACAATATTATAAAATGTTAAATTATTAAAATATTCAATATTATACCTTCCTTAACTAATTTTGCAGACTAAGTTGTCTTTTCTACAATGTAAAACTACTAAAATTATATGAAATCAGAAATGTATGTGAAATATTACACAGACATATAAAAATACACAAA